ACCCCCGTGCCGCAGCGTGGGGCTCACCGCCTCCGACCCCCACCCCGAGCTGTCCCTCCTCCCACACATGTCATCCTGCAGATCTCAGTGGCCAGCTCCGCCACCTTGATTCTCCAGGGTGTCTTGGGCTGCCTCTGACCCTCACCCCGAGCTCTCCCTCCTCCCACGCATGTCATCCTGCAGATCTCGGTGGCCAGCTCCGTCACCTTGATTCTCCAGGGTGTCTTGGGCAGTCGGGTCACTTCCTGACCAACCAGTCTCCACAGAAAACAGCCCTGCTGGCATTTTCTCAAGAGGTTTGGCAAGAATATCACAGCCCCGCTGCTTGCCTTCCCCCAGCATCTCTTGGCAAGCGAGTGATGCTCCTGAGCTCCCCAGCCAGTCTCAGGCCAGCCTTGTCATGTCCACCACCTGGCCTGGATTTCACACCTCTTCTGCTCCTCTCCTTGCTGGGCAGGGGCAGAACCCACCACCTCCGAATTCACCGTCATCATGCACGGCCCCAAGCTGAAGACCATCGAGGGCATCGTGATGGCTGCTGACAGCGCCCGCTCCTTCTCGCCCCTGGAGAAGTTTGGGCAGAACTTCTTGGAGAAGCTGATAGGGATTGAGGTGCCTCACAAACTGCTGGAGCGAGTCACCTTCGTGGACACGCCAGGCATCATCGAAAACCGCAAGCAGCAAGAACGAGGTAGGGGTTTGCTGGGTTCATCCAAGGGACTCCAAAACTGCTGCCATAATGTCGTGAGGTGACAAAGGTGGCTTAAAGCACAACGGGGAAGAGCCCAAGGCCACAAAAGAGGTCCTTGCTTTGGAGGGGATGGTGACATTGGTCTGCTCATGGCTATGGCAGCAGCAGCTGGGACCTGGGGAACATGCCCAAGTGCCATCAGCTAGAGCGGCTGTGCCCGCTGTCTGGAGGTGTGACAGATGGGTGGTTCAGCAAGGTGGCTCCTGGGGACTCCCTGGGCTCTTCATCCTGCCTCAGCTCAGCATTTAACACCCCACTTGTCCCCCTCGGAGCCAGGCTTTGCCAGCAGGGCCCCGAGGAGCAGCAGTCCATCTCCACAGCACGTGGGATGCCAGGGGAGATCAGCAGGGCTTCTTGACCCCCGTGGTGCCCACTGGGCAAAGCAATGATGTGGCCAGGATCTGCTCAGGGAAGCAGCAGGAAATCTGTGGCCAGCAGCAGGGCAAAAGAAGGTTTGGAAGTGAGGCTGGGGGAGATGCATAGTCACAGGCCCAGACACACAGAGGTGGGTTCTCACGCCAGGAAACTCTGAACTGTTTTTTAGCACACGAGAAACAGGTTCTAGGCTGCATGGAAAGCCCACGGTGCCTCGCATCGTGTCCAACCCAGACAGGCCATGAGGCACAGCAGGCTCAAGCTTCCTCTACCCCTTGACCTGAAGGGACTCATCCTGTGCTGGCCATTTCTCCTGGATTTTTCTCTTTCCTCCCCTCCAGGTTACCCATTCAACGACGTGTGCCAGTGGTTCATTGACAGAGCGGATCTCATCTTCGTGGTCTTTGACCCTACGAAGCTGGACGTGGGCTTGGAGCTGGAGATGCTGTTTCGCCAGCTGAAGGGCCGCGAGTCTCAGATCCGAATCATCTTGAACAAAGCTGACAGCCTGGCTACCCAGGAGCTCATGCGAGTCTACGGCGCCTTATTCTGGAGCCTGGCTCCTCTCATCAACGTCACGGAGCCACCCAGGGTGTACGTTAGCTCCTTCTGGCCCCACGAGTACCATCCGGACACCCACAAAGAGCTGTTCCTCAAAGAGGAGATCTCTCTGCTGGAAGATCTCAACCAGGTGATCGAGAACAGGATGGAAAACAAGATCGCCTTCATCCGCCAGCACGCCATCCGCGTGCGCATCCACGCCCTTCTGGTCGATCGCTACCTGCAGACCTACAAGGACAAAATGACCTTCTTTAGCGATGGAGAACTGGTGTTCAGGGACATTGTGGAAGATCCTGACAGGTTCTTTATCTTTAAGTCCATCCTGGCAAAGACCAACGTCAGCAAATTCGACCTCCCCAACCGCGAGGCGTACAAGGACTTCTTTGGCATCAACCCCATCACCAGCTTTAAGCTGCTGTCTCAGCAGTGTTCCTACATGGGAGGGTGTTTCCTAGAGAAGATTGAGAAGGCCATCACTCGTGAGCTTCCTGACCTCCTGGGAAGCATCGGCCTGGGGAAGAAGCCCAACGTTCTCTCCTGCGACGTCACTGGCTGTGGCGAAACCCCAAAGAACCGCTACAGGAAACCCTAAGGAGTTCTGTAGTGGAACCCTCCGCGTGGTCCTACCGGTGAATGAGCTTATGTCTTATCTGTCCAAGAAGCCGCCGTTTGTTAACCCCTCGAGTGCCACACTGGCAAAGGCTGCTGTACGATGAGGACTTGGAGTCATTGACATCGATGGCAGGGGAAGATGGGTGGGCATAAGAAAGAGAATAAAAACTGTGAACTCCTGACATTTTACCTTTGTTCTTTCGAGTAGAAGGCAATGTTTAAGCTGTAAGTATGACCAATGCACGGTGAGCTAGAACTGCAGCTGCTTCTTCACTGGTGCCAAGAGTGCGTGAACAGGAATTTCAACCTCCCCAAAGCCAGCAGGGAGCAAGAAGGAGGGCACGGCGTGAGAGCGCAGGGGACAGCGGTGACACACTAACCCAGGGCACGACCAGGAGCCCCGGGGAAAAGCACTGGGCAAGGAAAGAGAGGCCAGCTCCCGGCTGCTGTTTCAGGCTCCAACACCCCCCAGATCTCAGCAAATATTGATTTGGGTTTTCTTTCTGGGACTTTTAGGTCACCCAGTGAGTTCTTCTTTCGCATAACCGCTGAGCTGAGCTTCTGCAGCCTTCACTTGGGAGTTCACCTTGGAGCAGGGGCTTTGGCAGAGGTGTCTGTAGCTCTAAATGGGCAGCCGTGATGGGATTTGCACGTTCATGCCAGAGGAAGCAGTGGGCTTGAAAGAAGCTGAGCTGTGCTGGAGGAGGAGGGCCAGTACCCCAAATCAGCCAGTCCCACAAGGAGCCGTGAGCGGGTTGTCCTCGCTTTGGGCCAGCACAGGGCACTCTGAGCCTGCCTGTGCCATCCACCTCGAAACCCCATGCTGGCAAGTCAAGCCTGCAGGTCAGCAGGGCTCCAAGGGTTCAGGGTTTGGCAGTTTGACCTTGTCCGTGTTGCTGTTTCTTCAGTCAGACCCTCCCCGTGGTTTTGTGCTCTGTGGAAAGGCAGGAATCGGGGGGTCACTAGCCACAACCTTTTTGCCCACCTGCTGATCTGTGCTCCCTAGGACAATCCAGGCAGGTTTCTGCGGCTCGTTTGCCAGACTTGCCCCATTTTAGCCATTGTTGGCTCATTTCTGCGCATCTGCGCTCAGTCCTGGGAGAAGGAGCATTGCTCTGGAAGCACCCGAGCAGGGTGAGGTCCTCTGACCTTGAAATCTGTCAGTGAAAGCCAAGGGAGTAGAGGTGGCCTCATCACTTGGCCCTCACAGCCAGCAAGGCTTGCTGCTGAGCCAGGCACAAACCAACCGAGGTAGATGTTGCCCTGGATGGACACTGGCACCTTTGAACTCCCCAACAACGTGCTGAATGTCCGTTCTTCCTCCTGCCAAATGACCACAACTAGCACTGCTCTCCAGGAAACCTCTGGAGCAAAGGGACTTAAGTTTGACAGGAACAAGAGGATGCGGTAGTGCCGGCTGAGGCAAGACAAAGGCAAAAGGAATGAAAGAAGGAAAGAGGAAGCTGGGAATGGATGGTTCTGTTGTGATGGAAAGGGAGTGAAGGGCAGCGCCCCACGTCTCCATGTGCCCAGCAAGAGGTGAGCTAAGGCAGAAGGTCCATGGGAGCTCCATGTCCTCTGGCACTAAGGCCAGGCACTGCAAAGAAGAGGTCCTCTCAAGTTCAGGTGAATTTGGGGGGACACAACTATAGGGACTTCCACGCTCCTTGCCTCTGCTTCGAGGTGGGACGCCACACTTGAACTAATGAAGATGAGACCCAAATCTACGTCCAGGCATGGGAAGGGGCATGGCTCATGCAGAGGGACGTCGCCCACAGCGCAGAGGGGCCGAGAGGTCTGAGGGAGGATGAAGAGACTGTCAAGAGAAAGCAGCAGCCAGAAAAGCCCAGAGAGAAGTGATGTGCTCGTGAGTCAGAGCCGAGAGGTCTCCAACCTGCCCCAGAGCTGCTGCCTCCTCCACTGCTGTTCCTTCTTCTTTCTTGCACATGATCCTATTGCTCATCTGCGTCCCCCGAATCCTCCTCCCCTCTCCTCTCCTCTCCTCCCCCCCTCCTCCCCCCCCCCTCCCTTCCCACCCCTCCTCTCCTCTCTTCTCCTCTCCCTCTCCTCTGCAGGGGTAGGTTTTTTTAAGAGCTCCACATGTTTTTTAAGAGCTAATGGAACAGAAACAGTGACAGAAACGGGCTAATCCCGTCACTGCTCCTACTGTCACTCTGCATGTCACTGTCACAGCAAGCAAAGGCTTTCTACATGTTTCTGTTTGCAAGCGCCGTGTCACGCCATCTCTTTCCATGCTGCCCTGTCCCGTGGGCTCTGGGGTACCCAGGGAAAGGCCTCCCCTCCCCACAAAGGAGCTCTGACTCTTCCTACAGCCCTGAACCCAAAGGCACCGTTGCTCTGCTCTCAGGTTGCTCCCATCGTTCTCCCCATCCCTTCTCCATTTTCCTGCTCTTTGGCTTCATCCTCCGGCGCCCGTTGCCTCCGCTGCTCCCTTTCTTTCCCCTCCAGCACCCCCACGCCCTGTGCTAAGCCCTGCTGCCTGTGTCCTGGATGGGGTTCCTCTGGGACAGCCCAAATGTGTTTCCCCTGCCCCGGCACCGTTCTCTTTCCAAAGTGATGGCAGCTGTGGTCTGAAGCTGGGCTGGTTTCGGCTCCCCGTGGCACACACCCACCCGGCCCCACGCTGGCTCCGGGGAACCCACG